CGCCCCCCCGCCACCCCAGCCAGGACTACGCGCTCTCCCACGCCGAGCCCGCGGACACGGGGGAGCAGGTTTTCCACGGGACAGACTACAAACCCCCCATGACGTCTGTCCCCCCGCCGGCCTCCAGCCCCAGCACGCTGCCTGAGGAGGAGGCTCTTCTCTAGAGCTGCCTGGGAGAAGGCAGGAGCCACTCGCCTGCCCTGCACCCTCCTCCTCCTCCTCGTTCTCCTCCTCCATCTCCCCCGTGCAGGAGCACTGAGGGTGGCAGCACCCCGGAGTCGGGCTATGCCCGAGGGCTCTCTGCCTCTCCCATCCTGGGGAAGGCACATTGCATCATTTGGCTGAATTTGGGGTGAACCCAGTGCTGTAGGACACGCGTGGTCCCCAAGAGCCGGCAGGGACGAGCAGCTCTGCGCTGGCTGTGAAGCAGCAGTGGTGGCCGGAGGTCGAGTCCGTCCCAGCCGGGCTGGCGTCGCTGGTCCTGAGGGAAGCCTTGCGATGAATAAAAATGTCTGTCCCTGAGAAGCGATGGCCAGAGCGGTTGTTCCCCTGCTCCTTGGGCAAAACGCTGCCAAGAGGGGAGTCTGGGCTGCATCGCCCCAGGAAAGGCATCGCTCCCACAGCCAGCTGCGGGCTGGGTTCGCACCAGCCGCGGTGACAAACCGCTGGCTGCAGGCTCAGGTCTGCTGGAGAAAAGCCACTGACAATTGGAGCAGCCCCTGGAGCTCAGCATGAGCCATGGCTTTGGCCAGAGAGGGGGAACACGGAGGCCGAGCGGGTGGTTTTTGGGACGCACGGGGTGTCACGAGGTCTGTGCTGCCTGGGGAAGGGCTTGTCCTTGCACCCAGCAAGTCAACAACAAAGCTCTTGCTGCGTTCACCAGGCGCTGGATGCGGGCGAGCAAGGAGGACAGCTTAATTATCTCCCTGCAATCCCTGGCTTTAAAAAAAAAAAAATAAAATAAATAAATTCTTAATTTAAGATGGGCTGCTGGGCACAGGCGGGCACACCCAGAGGTGTGAACATCCCCGGGGACCTGCAAGTGGGAGATTTAAATATGTCACAACCTTTCAAACCAGCTCGGAGGTGGTGGGGAGAGGGGGCAGCAAGGACAGGTGCCCTCGACACCCCCCCCCTCCCCCCGGGGAACCCCTCTCCCCTCACCCTACGTAAGCAGCACCGCAGGTGTCGGGGCCGTTTCAGACTGGTGCGATTGTCATTAATAGCACTCATTAGCTGAGGGGGGGACCAGAGCAGGCGCTTGGTGCGG